CGAAGTTAACCGGATCAAGCGCTACGGATACGCACCTTTACGCAGCGTATCAGAAGACGAGCCGTGGCGCCGGGTTATCATTGATTTGGTTGAGCTACCCACGTCCGAACACACGAAGGATAAGTATGTCTGTCACGTGTTTGATGTCGCATCAAGATATAATGTTTTGTATCCGCTGAAAGACAAATCGACACAAACTGTGGCTGAGTGCATATGTAAGTGCTTCGCAGATTTCGGCTGGCCAGCTATTGTATGTTCCGACAACGGTAGTAAGTTTACAGGAGATGTCATGACGACACTGTTACTCGTTGCGGGATCATGCCATAAGATGGGTGTACCTTACAAGCCTCAGACACAAGGTGCGAACGAGGTACGACACAGAAAGATGAAGGAGTTCATGCGAGAGCAGCACTCCTTGATGATGCTGACATGTGGCCTTACTCAATCAACTGGGTACAGACACAGATGAACGAATTCCCTGATTCAGTCACTGGTACAACACCCGCTCACTATTTCCGGGGCCGTTATAGTGAATTACAGATCCCCTTCAACAAGGAGTCTCAAGATGACCATGTGTTACCATGATTAGAGAAGTTGCGTCGGACCAGATATGTGGTCTATCCTTGCTTAAAGGAGATGAAGGACATCGCTCTCAAGAAGAGACAAAAGCGATGGAAAGATACCAAGAAAATAGTCGAGTTTGAGGTAGGCGATATAGTCAACATTATGGCTCGCAACTCCGATACAACTGTGCTTACGGCTAAATATATTGGACCATTTGTGATCTCAGTGGCCGATAAGAAGAGCGGAACGCATGAAGTTAACAACGATGACGGCTCTGGTGCCTTAAATATCGGGTCGCATCGAATCCCGACGACAGTGATCATCCTTCGTCGCACACGTGAAGCTAATACACCCCTTATGTCTTACGAATTTAAAAAGATTCTAGGGAAGTACAAACATGAGGATATGTCATATTACACTACGGAGTTCGCCGATGGAGCACAGTATAATCTTCCTCTATCAGCATTTGATGATCCGGATATACTAAATGCCTTTAATAAGAAATTTCGCAAACGCTTACACAAAAATAAGGCTGATGCAGAAGCAATCTTACCATCGGACAAGCAACCCGACGTGGTTGAGATCTATCAACAGACATCATACATTCCCAGCTTTAAACAGCATGGAATGTACGTATCTCCAAAAGGCATTAAGGCACGTCCCATCCACCATCGGGGACCACAAGGACCAAAGCCCAAACGTAATAGAGTGACCGAGTAACATATAACGTCTAAGTATACTTTGTCTAAGAGAATATAACATAAGCATTGAGGCCGTTATATGATCGAAACCCGTTTCTTTTCTTTTCGCTTGTACAATTCATGTGAGCTTTTCGAGTCTATGTGCTAATACCACATATAAGCCAACATTGTAATTTTCAAGCTGAAGGGGGGTGGGGCTATGTAGAAATAGCGGGTTCCTAATAGTATTGCACAATTAACATATATTATAAACGTACTAACGTATTAACGGTTATACTTATAATACTGGAATACGTCTAACGTTTTGAACATGAACAAGAATTGAGATACTCAAGATTCTGAAAGTGTGATAGTACTCAGTAGAGTATGAGACTCTACTGTGGACAATTAGGTGGCTTTCCAAATATAGGTTGGTTTTTACCACTGAAATTTAGAATGATACAAATTATAGGAATGATACAAATCTGAAACCTGAAAATGACACTTTGGGAATCTCTAATTAATGGGAGTACCATGAGAGAGGGCCTCAGAAATGAAATGGTTGTTGGTACAAACCTATGGTATAATTCGATAATAATCTCAGAGCAAGATAATCCACTGAGAAAAGGACAGGATCAGAGTTGTTAGAATTTAGGACAACCTGGTTTTGATTCCTCCTAACCAGCCAACTAGATGTGCCCGTCAAAGCCTTAAATGGGATGGAGAGCTAGGTACCAAGTGATGGGGTTTAGGTACAGATATATACTGCACCAGCTTGGTATTTTGATTTGATTTTTTATTTTCTTAAGTTGGACTTAGAGATAATTTATTGGTATTTTGAGTAGATAATTGTTTCGAGGCGTGGTATGTAAAATATGTGTCCAATGAAATGATACCTAGTCTGAGTAACGAAAATGAAATGATACCTAGTAACTAAAACATAAATAAATCTAGACCGAAGTAGTGAGTGATTAGAGCGGAACATATAGACAATAGTCTCAGTCTATAATCCCCTAATCTTTTGCTCACTACCAAGGGCTGAAGCTAAACTTATTTTAACATTTTGTATTTTAACGTTTTCACGTATTGTCTTATTAACGTAAACGTCTTGGTATCGTATAGTCAGCCTAGAGGAGACCGAATTTTACATGCTCCCCACGCGACCATTCGCAGACTACCTTGGAGGTTTCCTGGGAAAACAACTCAACTCAATGGCCAGCACAAACCCACTCACCCCTCTGTCGCTGTAAGATTCGGTCTCTCAAGGCGATATTAACGCCTTAGAATAAATAAACGCGTAGGTAAATTCTAAGTATCGTGAAAATATCAAAGTAAATAAACGAAATAAGACATTTAGTAAAGTTAGGCATGCCTCGTGAAAACAGCAATACTCTGAGGGATTGTGAGGCTGAGACATTGCCGATATATAATTTTCTAAGTACTGTCACCGCCGAAGGGGTTTTATTTAGTGTTTCGTTGTCGCTCTATTAGAAACTATTGTATGTTTCATTGGGGCGAATAAAATCCTATCTGTAGAAAAAGAAATGAAAGAAATAAAAAACTTTTGATGTCCTTAGTTATTGTCTTAACCAATAACATGCCACTTATCAAGAATTACCGACTTAGCCTTCATCAGACTGGCACATCTGGTTGGCTGATCGGAGGATCAACTAGGTAACGTTAATAGTCTTTAGAAACCTATATTCGGTTGAGCCATCTCGCTACCGAAGTATTCAGATATAAATAAAGTTGGAAAGTAAATGAAGTTCTATTAATAGAGCTAGACCAGCTCTTTATGTTTGGTATTTTACTCAGGCCTTTTAATGGCCTCGTCCGAATATCTGATATGTATAATAGAAAAGATATTAATTAATAAAACCATTAAAAACCATTTTAGGAAACTTAAGTTCTTCGTGCTATTAAGAGTACATTTAGAAAACTTAAGTTCCTCGTACTAATAAGAGAACATCTAAGAAACTTAAGCTCCACGTACTATTAAGAGTACGTTTATAATTTACGTACTCTTTAAGAGTACGTTTATAACATAGAGTCTAATGTAGAGGCCCGGCTTATTACATCGCAACCCGCTTGGGCCCACGACAAACCATCACTACGCTTCCCGTACAGTATCTATGCCCACCTGAAAACTGCACACATAATCACGGGCGGGCATACACCCTACCTTGTAGCACTCCGCCAACGCTGTGACAATATTAGGAAGAACTCAACAAGGAGATTGCGGCAATGGCCCGGCACAAATACTACTACCAACTGGTCATGGATTAACCGCCAACCTCAAATCGAGACAAAGCCAGACACGACAGCTTCCACCGATGCTTTGAGCCTACACTAATCCGGCTGTGTGCTATGGTTGTAACAAATACATACATGTTTACTTTGCTCGACTACCGCACTGACGGCTGTCTCTGCCCTGTCTGCCCCGGTAGCCACAAATTAACCACCATCCACTTTACCTACATTCAACAACTGATTCGACGCATCCTGGTAGGCTCATTACAGGAGCGCCATGACTTCCAAGAAATCTGGATCTTCTGTCACGAACACCTCGGATCCTTTCTCCAGCATGTAGAACATCCACCGTACCCTCACCCGTCTCTGACACATCAACAGATGTCCCCCATACACCGGCTAATCACGCTGTTGAAGTACTACTTCCAAATTTCGGTCCAAACCAAGTCATCGCGCTTGTTGATTCCGCTTATAATACTTCCTATCCAGGCAAGCTAGAACATATCAAGTGCATCCGTGGTCTGATGAGGCACTGGCTTACCCCCAATCTCGCTCCTCGACCGAATTAGGACGGATAACCTGGTCCTACTCGGTATTTCATACTTTGCACTAACCCATTCCACGGCACTATACGGTGCAGACCCGATCCGTACCACAAAGGTGGGTGCGCTACATAGTAGGTCAGCAAGCAAATACATGGTGCACTCGATGGTGTCAGTTTGTTTGTCAGCACCGGCCGGAATTGACCCAGCACACATCCTCCATCGTCGACTCACTTGACCCAAGTTTCAAATGGGAATTTGCTGACCACTTCTTCCAATAGATCTTTCCTAAACCACTACAACGGCTATAAGAGCCATACCACATGTACTTACGTTGTAACTGATCTCTTTTGAAATAAATAATATTATACCTATTTACATGTGCAATCCAACACAACCAATCCATGTAAATATTGGTTTTCAATATGTTTTCAACATATTAAGGCCGAAGTCATGTGACAGTAAGCACCCCTTGACAGGCACTGCACATTGCTATCTGGCCATAGTCCAAGACATCAATATCAGATGTACAAAGTCATCTCACAATATAACATGTGGAAACCCATTTTTTCGCATCCAAAACTTGTTGTGAACTTGATGTCAACTCTTGTTACTTCCTAGGACAGTTTGCACCTATGAATGTCAATATTGGGGCCAAACGTGCCCTGGATCTGAAATGGGCAACTACGCCTCACAAAAAAGAAAAGGAAAAATAGGAAAAAAAATTAAGAATAAAAACTTGTTTTTTAAATTTTTTTTTTTGTCAACTTCTCCCTCCGGTTTCAGGAATGTAGTCACTAAAACCATATTTCACATTCCTAATTTTTGATACTTTAAAAATTAAAACCCAAAATCATGTTGAATAAAATAAATATAAAGAAATACTGCAGTATATGTGAATAAAAATAATAATACTATTTATCTCATAATCTCTCAGAGGTCTTTACAATTTACTTCGTGGTGTCGGTCGTAATATTTAAAATAACAGGCACGTACGGTGGCTATTACTTCAGCAACTAAGTCGGTCATAGATCGGTGAACTACTAGGCTAGTCATCATGGAGAATTTCACTTCCAAATTGGAGAACAAGCTCACCGGGGGTGTACCCGGTGGGATGAAGGGACTCAAAAATTTCATATACGACATCAGAGAATGCAAGTCGAAGGAGGGTGAGAAAGCTCGTGTCAATAAAGAACTGGCCAACATAAGGAAGAACTTTAAAGGTAAGTTGGTGCTCATGTGAGGATTTCATCTAGATTTTGAGGTGATGGGTGATTCATTAGTTTGTTCGCACGTGTAGAGTCTCCCCGACGACACCCAAAAATGCTTCGAAGATGTTTTTGTACGTAGACTACGTACTATCAATTGTACTTTGTACGAAAATCTATGGGATTGAATATGGAACTGTATATGCATTCAAATACAGGCATAATTACACACATAAAAACACACATACGCACATGCGCACACAAATACGTACTAACACGCACACACACGTATATATATATATATATATATGTATATATATACAACACACACACATATATATTATACACACACGTACACACACACACACACACACACACACACACACGACGACGACGACGACGACGACGACGACGACGACGA